GTGGTGTGCAGTGAAGCAAATCAGAAGTGAGAAGGATACAGCATACACATTTTTCTCAATGACTATTTCATTAGCTCCCCATTATGCAGGTACTTCAGAACTATGTTTAGGAGTAAGTTGTCCTAGGGATGGACAGACTGTACCAAACTTCTGTATCATATAGAAGAATATTAGCGGTCCCACAGTAATCTATTCAAGATAGACGACATCTGGTATTGGAGGGAGGTATATATTTTCTCATTAAAAGTTGATTTTAAATCTTAGAAAGACTTCTTGTGTTGAAAGAACTGATAGACTTTAAATATGTATTTTTTTTCTTTTTTTTTAATTTAACATACTGTGTTTATATTTAAAGCATGTTAATTTTATTACAGGACACTATTTAATGATACAGATTTTTTTAAATTATATGTAGCTAGTGAAGATCACTCTACATGTAGTTTCCCTGTCATAGTTGTTGTAACCAATATTTATATAATTAAACACCACAAATTTATATATGTAAGTAAATACTCACAAATAAAATCCTAGAAGATCCATAGGAATTCATCATTTGAGTTGCCTGTCATATCCTTTGCTCATACTCTTGTGTCTAGAAGTACCAGCAACATATGTATCTGCTGGTGGTGCTACTTATGTTCTTGTAATTAGGTTGACTACTGTTATTGTATATCACTAAATATTGCTGTACTATGTTGTGGCTGTCTTTACTTTAGACAACATGAGAAGCATGGATTCACAGGAGCAGTAGTCTTAGATACCAAGTGATTTTTTCAGAAGAAATTTTATTAATGGGAGTAACTTTCCTAAGCTTAGCCACTGCTTGTTATCAAAGTGTATAAATATACATTGATCTGCTTAATTAAAATTATAAAAAAATAGAAAGCAGAAAGTTAGTGAATTCAGCAGACTGTACTTTTCAGCAGTGTCAAATAACGGACATAATTCTGTGCAGCTCTTGAATAGCAGCAGAAAAGAATAGCTGTAATGTGCCAAAGAGCTACGATGTGCCAACCACCAAGAATTCTGGCGCCAGTGATAGAGAAAAGAGAAATATAAAGAAATTAAGTGATTAGTTTATGTGCACACCACATTAGCAAGAATTTCGGAAATTGTATCCCTGGTTTTTTGCCTCTTCAAGCCTGTGTACACTGCACAGCCCACGTCTCCTCCAATGAATTGCAGATGGTGAAACAACATCTTTGCTTTGAGTGCAATGAAAATGCTATAGAAATAGCAAAGAGAAATTTTCATACGATCAGATTGTAGGAGAGCACTAGGTAGCCTTAGAATCCATTAATAAAAATACTAAGAAAATTTTCTATGATTTATTTTATGTTTTCCGTGTATCCAGTTACTCCTTGCTTCCTTAAAGAATTGGTGGAATATGACACTTCTAACAATAAAAGCTTAATGGAATCAGATTTGTGATTTCCTAGAAAATTAACGAGATATTTTGTCAATTTTATTCCAGACTTCATTTGTCAGAATATACAGTGTCCAGTGACAAGCTAAAAGAATTTTTTGACAAATTAACTATGCCACAGGTGACAGATCAGGAAAATGTTAATTTAACAGCCCCTTTATGCTTCCCAGATTTATTGGAGGCTATTAAGGAAACTCCAAATGGTAAGACCCCTGGCCCTGAATAGATTTTTCCATTGAATTTTATACAGGATCTATTAATAAAGTTTGATGCTGCCTTTTTTGAATATAGGTAATTGTACTGTATCTTCTGCATCTCCTCAGCATTTACAGTTGAAATACAGTTTTTAGTTGGGAGAAAAAAGTAATTATGCTTCCAGTAGTGTCTGTAATCTGGTTCTGAATGATTCCTCCTAAAGATGAGACTACAAGCACCGTATAAAACCCACAAGTTATTACTAGTTAAGTCCAGCATGGCTAGGTCTTTGACTCTCGGCCACTGAGAGTAATAATTGGATCCCTTTTATTCAGTCCTACCACCTACAAATCCTTACCTAATAAGCTTTGCACAGATAAGTAATTGAGCTCTCTGGGGCTTCCTACACAATTGGTATTTTGCAAGACCAGGTTGAGGATATAGATTCGTTCTGTCCTTTAGGCAGGTACCTGATGGTCTGGATTTCTAATGCTGGTTCGGAACAAATACAATCAATTTGCAATAAACACAGTGGAGGTTTCCTCCAGCCCCTCTGACTTGGTGACTGATCAATCTAAGCCTTGACCCATGTGTTTATAGGCCATACTAATGGTTCCTACCTAACATGACCATGAATGTTCTCATTAGTAATAGAAAGTCTAATTGGCTTCCAAATCTCAGGTTTCAGCCTCTCTAATATCTTATGGCAATCAGTTTTACAGCTCTTTTAATTAATAAAAATATTTCAGTCACTTTTTTAAAGAACTCGAGTATAATAGTGATGCTTTTTGAGCCATTTCCCAGTACTACTGCTGTTGATATTGCTCCCCTTGCTCAAAGAGCAGTTGGAATCCTAATACGTGTATGAATTACCCCTGGTTTAAGTCACCTGTCATCTTGATGTTCATGCTGAGTGTTTGTGAGTAAGAGAACCAGGATATCAGTAATGGAGGGAGTTCGGACAAGTAAGGTGGCAAAAATAGACTGGAGGAGGTAGAGGAGATTTAGAGATGGGGAAGAACAAAGGAAAGTTTATTTAAAAAAAACAACAAACACAAAGCAGTGGCACAGTGTAGGGCAAAGAAGAAAGAGAAGCACTGTGAAAGGTAGACCAAGGAAAGTTACCATCTCGTTTGTGATAGCTGTAAGATCAGGGTCTCTAGGATGTGTTTATTTTATAAATACATGTGTTTATTGGATTATGAGCTTCTAAAACAGCCTGTACTTGTAGTAGTGGCTAATGGAATAATCTAGTCTTTTTGGTTATTAGTTACAGTTCTTGGCTCGTTTGTCTGTTCTCTGGTTTTATGCAATGTGTATCAGTTGTAACCTTGGCATCGACTCTCACATCTGGTTGTCAATTTTTCTTGGATTTTCCATTATCAGGACTAAGCATTACTTATGATTCTGCCATCCTTGGTTTTAAATATGTAACTAACTTAGCATGCTAAGGAATCACATTAATTTCCATGATGACTGCTATTTACTCATTCAGATGCAAATGTGGTTGAAACCACAGGTCTCCCGTTTTGGCTGGTATCTCTGGTCATGACCATAACATCAGCGCTGCTCACTGCCTCCTGTGTGTTCGTACATTCCGCTGGTTAGTGTTTGCCCCTGGGCAAAGACAGGAATAGACTTTGAGACTGGTGATTCATTACCTGATACGAGCTTAATTCCCCTTAAAAATAAGTCCTGTAAGTAGGAAGGCAAGAGGAGAAAGAAAGAAAGAAAGAAAACAAAGAACCCTTATTTTTAAGCAGCTGTAGGTCCGTTGTGTTAATGATTTCCTTGGTGAGGTAAGGTCATGGGTATGAGTGATATCTCAGAGTCCCAGGCACGCTAGCTCACCCAAGGGCTTGTTAAGGCTTATCCAAACAAGGTGAAGGAATGTTCCGTATTCTGTTACAAATCTAGCATTTCCTTTTAAATGGGTAAAAACAATTTCTTCTTACCTTAAAAATACAGGAGGAGGATGAATCTCCACTATAAAAATGCTTCCTTAAAAAACAAATTCATTATATTTGGATGGATTTTAATAATACTTTTAGCTATGCTAGTATGAATAACTTTAATCTTGAAATTCCTATTATTTCTCTAATTTATAATCACACTGAAGGATCAAATGGTTTTTAACAATATATTGAAATTAGCACATGGCATTTAACTCCCTGTTTTATGCTCTCATTATAGATTTATAGTATTGAATCCTTTTATTCTGTTACTTTGGCATTCTGAGTGATTAATTCGAGTAATACCTTCTTCTCTCAAGGCCCAGAGAGAGAGATAGTTACATCAGGGTGCTTTTGAAGAGGAGATCAGGATGTACAATCTTTTGTCTGTTTAAAAGATAACTGGTTTAAAAATGCAGTCCTATCTGCAGTAGATTAATTTTTTTTTTCTTGTAATGCAAACTTTATAGACCTTTATGTTGCTATGTATTTTACGTTTTATTTAATTGTTAATCTCCACAGTGCCAAATAGTGTGGGGTTTTTTTTTAATACAGTACGTTCCAATAAAAAAAACAATGTTAGTTAATCCTTCCTAACTGTCTTCAAATAGTTCAAAATAGTTTAATGGCTCAGTTGTATGTGTGATTTTGTTCTTCTCTTGGCAAACCAAGGTCAAGCCTAAGGTTTGTTTTTAAACGTCATCTTAACCTCCACATGAGAGCGACGTTGAGTTTTGCCACAGTTCTCTGCTTGGGTTGTGTTACCTGGTTTGATTTCCCTTGGCTGAGCAGCCTGCGGTGGCTGGCTGGCTGTGACCTAAACTCTGCACTTACAGTCACCGTCTCTGAATTGTTGGCATTTGTAAGATTCAAGTTTAGGTCTCACTGGTGTGTATGTGTAGACCACTGCCAGCTGTGGTAGGTACCAGGGAGGGAGTGCTAGCAGTAGGAATAAGGCATGGTAAGTTGGTAGTTCTGTACGTGAGGGACGGGAGCTTTTCAAGTAATGGGAAGGAGCTACAGAAGAAAGCAGAAATGTAGAAACGGGGGTAATGCTAGTATTAAATGCTGATGGAAAAACAGTTTTGAAGTTTTAGGTAGGCTTGTCAGTTCTCTCTTCCTCTCCATCCCACCCTTTGGGGGATTTTTTGGATCCTGCAAGTTCATGGGATCTTGCAGTGGAGTTCAGACTCTTTATGGAAATCTGTGAAATCGTTGCCAAATATTTTATATAATTTTTACAGATACATTAAACAGCAGTGAAAGAATTGGAATTTAAACATTCAAACTTCTTCCAATTTTAAGTCATAGCAGTGTATTTTAATCTTTCTACTGAAAAGAATTCCATCCACACCAGATTTTGTATTAGCTCTGTCATACTTTTTTTTTTTTTTAATACTTTCTAATGAAATATATTTTCTCGACAGGGTCATGTTGGTACAACGGCAACCAAAAAAATTGATGTCTACCTCCCACTGCACACAAGCCAAGACAAACTACAGCCCATGACAGTTGTGACGATAGCAAATGCCAAGGTGCATGACCTGATTGGACTAATATGCTGGCAATATACAAGTGAGGGACGGGAACCAAAACTGAAGTAATGTTCTTTCTTTACTACCTCTTGATCTCTCATTTTCTTCTCTGCAGCCTTTTTGCATAATGAAATGGATTTCCATGTCAATGTTTTTATAGATAAATCTTAGAGAATCCACCTACACATTTATCAGTATTTCCTTTTGAGCAGTACACGTGCATCTATATCCATTTCTTTTCCAATTAAACTACTGTGTACTGTATAATGATAAGCATATGAAACCATGAGTCTGTAAATAAATCATAATTTCAAGACACTTTATGTAAAAATAATATAAATCTTACCTCTTTTCGTGTCATGGAGACATTTTTAATTTTGTGTCCCATCCATTTTTTTGGTAGTGTTTTTAATGGCTAAGATCACAAGGATGTCAAATAAAATCCAGAATTCATCTGTAACTCCCTCCCTTTTTTGTTCCGAGAGAAGGTACCTGGATTCTGACTCTGTTCTCTGCACGGTACCGGTTCCTCCTACAGATTCATAGAGAGAGGAGTCGCTGTACTGGGTGACAGTGTGTCTTGGAAGTACTGTTAGTGTTCTCCTGAAACCATGGAATACATTTTAGCCATAGCGAGTATGCCTGACAACAAGTCAGAATTCTGTCATAGAACTTCAGCATTATCATTTACTTGCTTTCTGCTGTCATTTTGCTGACGTAATGACTGTAATTCATTATACACATGTTAAAATATTTCTGGTTTTCTAAGAGTTGACAGGTATAGGGGCTAAAGGTGCTTTTCTTTCCAGGTTATCATCCTGGAGATACCACTAAAATACGGATATACAAATAAGGATCCTGAAAACAAAATAAATACCAGTTTTCTTTGAAATTGTGAATAAAATTGCATTCTTTAATTCAGAAATCTGCCTCATACAATAGTTTATAATTTCTACAAGACTTTGACCTCAGTCACGTTGGCTGTTTGCTGTAAAGAGCAGCATCTGTCTTGTCCTCAGAAATTTTAGCTTCAATTAATCAATGGATTTTTCAGTATCTTTGGTAATCATTACTTACGTCTTCATTGTGAAAGAATTCTGCCCGAACAGTTTCTGTGACTAAATAATGGATTGGATTTGCTGTGCTGGAGCACTAGTGTTGTTTAGTAAGAGTTGCTATTTTATCATGGTAGGTGATATAAGGTACATAAAACAGGTACTTCAAAGGCACTCATCTGAGCAAGTTTGGGTTTAAAACAGTTCTGTAAAATACTTCAGTTTGTGCTGGGTCATAGAACATAAAATAAGAACTTAAAATAGTTCATTATAGAGTTATTAGTAACAGATACTAGCGGGTGACTTTCCTGTTGCAAAGAAGGTTAGCAGGTTTTTTGGGGCTTTTTCTGTATGAGCCAATTTTCACTTTTTTGTTGTTCCTGGAATATTTGATGAATGGGGTTTTTTTTCCCCAGTACTGAACTTCACAGTTTGCTCTTCCAGCATTTTTCAGAAGTGTTTGAGGACTCAGTAGTCTTTTCTTGTTGTGGCACAGTTGTTAGGGGGAAAGGAAGGTGCTGAGAGATCGCTTGAACTGCTGTTCTTTAGGATTAGTTGATTTCCGTTTAGTAGATCTAGAGCAACACTGGAAAACAGCCCCTCTTGAAAATGGTTTCATGGATATTGTTGCCTTGGATATGGGATTTCCCTTAGCTCTTCTCAACAGACATATGAGGTGTTTTAGAGGTTAAACGCTTCAGTTTGATTTGTCATTTTTTTTACAGTGGAGAAGAAATATGAAATTATTTGCAGATGGTGCCATTTCATTTGCTGTTATTAATTTCTGTTCATTATATCCGAAGTTCAAAAAAGTGTCCTTTGTGTATGATTAGCTTGGTTTTTAACAAGTGAGACGCCACTAATGTCAATCGTTAGACACATGTATGTTTTTCAGGAGCACAGCACACCTCAAATGGAACAACGCCCATGAGTAGAGGTATTCCATGAAACATCATTGCCCACAGCAAAAGTCAGCAGTGGGAGGAAATGAATGTCACTGTCTGCCTTGAAGGATAAGATGTTATGATGTATCAGAGTGATCATGACCAAGGAGGCTGTCTAATATAATCAAATCTCAGGACAGAAATAATAAAATAAATAATGAAGGCATGAGTTCCCAAGAACAGGCTAACAGCAGCAATTGAGAATCTGGGTACAAATGCTCAGAGGAAGGGGCAGAGCCTCAAGATTCCAAGAAGTTTGTTTTCTTGCGTAGTTCTTAATTATTTCTCATGTCTCAATCATCTTTTTTTAACATTGCTGACTGCCAGTCCTATAGCAAGGATTGATTTAACTGTAAACCGATTCTCATCGTTTCCAAATAAGGGAAGAGCTTGTGTAGGTTGCATATTCTACTTTTGCTGTTTGCTCCTGATTTAGTCAGTTTAGAGTATAAAAAATAAAAATCAGGATCATTGTTACACTGTGCTAAAATACATATAGAGAATGTTTCAAATCTGATATATAACGCATGCAGAATGATAAATATACCTACCAGTAACACAATTTGAGAATAATGAGGAGGTTGTAGACTTTCTAATTAAGGGAAACAACCGCTCTGTCTTTAGGAAAAGCATATATTACTGCCTAATTCTTTTTCCTGCAAAGGTAGACGTAAGAGTCTGGAGTGAGTGAGTACTAGTTGACAGCTTTGAGAACATTTTGTATTCAGTTAGGCTGCCTTTTTTATTATAATTGTATTATATTTGTCTCCATTCAGTGTCTTGATATGAGGAACCACTGACAGTGTTAGCAGGCCGGTTCCTGGCTTCTTACGTATCAACTTTGGTCAGAACCCAGTGGACCATTTCCTTGCCAACCCCTGACAGATGTGCTGTAATGATTCTGCCTGCAAAAAATACACAAATTCCCTCCCTTGGAATAGATTAATAGTGAGATGCAAAATTCAAATAAACTTCCTATTTTTAGAAGTTAAGAATGCTATTACGTCTGTCAGCTGTTGTACTTAACTTTACGTTCTGTCCATAGCAAACTGGGATTCTCAAGACTTTGAACTTTGTAATTTGAAGCCTAAAGTTCAGGACTTTGGTCTCATCCTGGTGGAGGTTCAAAATGCAGAACAGTTTTTTACCCATTGGACTTGTTTTTTCGACAGATTGTGACTTAATCTGTGTTAACGTTCAGGAACCCACTCCATGTTTGAAGACATTTGTAAACCCTTTAATTTATGGGGTTTAACCAACATTGTATATTTTTACTGTAATTGGTGGAAGATAAGTTGCTATCACCACCACCTTTTCTGGGCACTTGGATTGCTTTGAGACCGTACTGAATGTGTTCTGTTGCCTGCATGCCTGTATGTCCCTCTAGCTTTAACGAGAATTATGCAAATGCATCAAGTACCAAATGAAAATGTTAACTTTATTTGTACAGAGCTTTAAGCGCGCACCAGGCTGCACATAGAAGAATTCTGTCAAATGAATAGGTTAGAAAATCAGCAGTGTAAAGCACAAACCACAGCTGTGGGAAGATGGGCACCGTGTGACTGTTCAGACTGGGAAGTCTCATAGCACGGGGTGACTTTTGAGTCACATTGAACTGGACAGAATGAGCATGCAGAGCTTAGTGTCAGTATTCCCCCAGCACAAGAAGGACATGGACCTGTTGGAGCAACTCCAGAGGAGGCCATGAAGACGATCCGAGGGCTGGAGCACCTCTCCTACAAAGACAGGCTGAGAGAGTTTGGGTTGTTCAGCCTGGAGAAGAGAAGGCTCCAGGGAGACCTTAGAGCAGCCTTCCAGTACCTAAAGTCAACCACAAGAAAGCTGGGGAGGGACTTTTTCCAAGGGCAGGGAGTGATGGGACAAGGGGCGATGGCTTTGAACTGGAAGAGGGAAGATTTAGATGAGATACGAGGAAGAAATTCTTCAGGGTGAGAGTGGTGAGGCAGTGGCAGAGGTTGCCCGGAGAAGCTGTGGATGCCCCATCCCTGGAAGTGTTCAAGGCCAGGTTGGATGGGGCTGTGAGCAACCTGGTCTGGTGGAAGGTGTCCCTGCCCACAGCAGGGGGGTTGGAATCAGATCATCTTTAAAGTCCCTCCCAACCAAACCATTCTATGATTCGTAGAAATCTAAATAGAATAAGAGAAGGACCTGAAAGTCGTGCCAGGCATTTCTCATTACATAAGCAGGATCAGCTGTATCTATATTACTTACAGCCTTTTTGTTTAGCTTGTTCCTAAAACACTGGCAACAATGCAAACCACTCAACCTCCTGACTGTAGGCTTTTATGGTTGTCAAAGCCCTCATGCTGTATGAATTATCTTCCCAGTGCTGCCTTTCACCAGTTTCCCTAAAAGTTGCTTAAGCACTCTTGAAGAAGTGAAAAATTAATTCTGCAGCAATATTCTGGTTCTGCATAACAGTCCAGAGACTCATGAAAGTTTCTTTGATAGTATTGCAGAATTTTCAAAATTCACAGTGATAAACATTGCTGGATTACCTTTTTGTAAGCAAATTTACAGGTTACGTTAATAGTAATGCATCATTATTACTTGTTTTATATAATAAATGTCTTAGTCGTGACAAGGTGCGTATAGATCACCTGGACTAAGCACTCTGAATAAAGCACAGTTGCAACCAAAGGTTTGTGAATTAATTGAGAAAATTGCAAATCAGGTAGTCAGTGAAATAATTCATTGTCACATCCAATCAATAAACTTTGTAAATCAACTCATTTAATTCAAAAAATGATCTATATAGATCAAGCGACCAATTAAACAATTAGCATACACTTTGCAATTAATTAATTCAAGCATCAATCATGCAATTAAAATTCTAAATTTAAACTGCAGAGTTTAGAAACACAGTGCCATGTGAACATTCAAGCTATACTTCATGGCTATGGAAAATGCCCGAATGCTGGCAAATTTACAGTAAGAAAGAATACTTATTTTCAGGTCAATAATTTAAATATTAACATTCAAAATAGATTTTAATGTTAGGAAAATATGATTAATACCTGTTTGGTTATATATAGGTAGTTGTTTCCCTATGGGCTTTCCTATGTGGAAAGAAAGAGGCTTGGATTTTTCTTTCATAATTTCTTCACACTGTATCTGTTTAAAACTTTCTGTGTTATTTAGTTCTACTTGGTAGTATATACTAATTTTTAACTGCTTTTAGTGACTGGACTTCTTAGAGGTTTAGAAAAGGTAGCTTTTTCTACTAATCATTGCTACTGTGTTGAACAGATTTCTTTACTTTCCCTGTATTTTATTACAGTGTTTACCTGCCTGAGAGCATTCCCTGCTTTTCAAGCCTACATTCAGTAAACTTTTTCACTGTTGCTTTATCTATGACAAAATAGATAGACATTGCTTGTTTGTCTTTAATTCTAAAATGTAATGGTCATATAAATAAATGATATTTCACAAATGGAGAAATATTACTTCCAGCTTTATGAAGTCATGAAACTTTTATAGACTTTAGTATATTTTAATCACTGTCGGTATTTTGCTTGCAGTTCAGTTAATGATGAAGTAAGGCTCACTGCTTTACTCTGAGGTTTTGGGATTTTTTTTCTATTAGCATGTGGTTATGGTAGCAAGATATGCTGGGACTTTGTTCGGACATATTTATAAACGTGCCATCAGTGGCTTTTAAGTATCTTACTCTGTAATAGGCATGTCTGCTGATTTGTTTTCTACAGCATTTAGTGACTGGTATTGATCGGCTGAACTGAATTGGTTGTCCAGCTTCCCTCCTGAATAAACTTTTTTGGTCCTTGTTTCAGTGACAACGTCAATGCCTACTGTCTCCATATTGCTGAGGATGATGGTGAGGTTGACACAGATTTTCCACCCTTGGATTCCAATGAGCCCATTCACAAGTTTGGCTTCAGCACTCTGGCACTGGTTGAAAAGTACTCTTCTCCCGGCCTGGCAGCAAAACAGTCGCTCTTTGTTCGCATGTAAGTATGGGTGCTAACTTTCTCAGTCACTGGGAAACATCCCTCTGTCCATGCCACATCCACGTCTTTTTTCTTCTCTACTTTTCTTCATCTGAACTTAGTGGAATTCAGGGGGCGTGTGCATTCGCGGTGCTCTGCAGACAATGCCCTGGTCTGGGGTCTGTCACGAGGCAGGTAGAAAAGTAAATGCTGCTGGCAACAGCTCGGGTGAGCCCATCATTGTGAGTCTAAAACTACGGAGAAGAAAACAAGCCCTTCTGCATGTGGTTAGTGGAGAACATTGAACTGTTGCACTACCGCTAGTAAATATTCGGAATTTACACAAAGTCTGAGCTCATAATCTTCATTTTGCTCCAGCCGTGCTGCTTATTTATGAAAAATATGTTCTGAATAATAACTGAAATAATGTATATAATAGCTTCGGAGAGTTAAAATTATAAAGTCAATCATAGAATTGTTACGGTTGGAAGAGACCTCAAAGATCATCAAGTCCGACCTTCTACCCAACGCCACCATGCCCACTAAACCCACTAACCATGTCTCGAAGCGCCACATCAAAAAGTTTCTTGAACACCTCCAGGGATGGTGAGTCCGCCACCTCTCTGGGGAGCCCGTTCCAATGCCTAATGACTCTTACAGTGAAGAAGTTCTTCCAAATATCCAACCTGAACCTCTCCTGGCGCAACTTGACGCCGTTTCCTCTTGTCCTATCACTGGTTACCAGGGAGAAGAGACCAACCCCCACCTCGCTACAACCTCCTTTCAGGTAGTTGTAGAGGGCGATCAGGTCTCCCCTCAGCCTCCTCTTCTCCAGGCTGAACAACCCCAGCTCCCTCAGCCGCTCCTCATAAGACTTGTTCTCCAGACTCTTGACCAGCTTTGTTGTTCTTTGTTGGGCACGCTCCAGCACCTCAAGGTCTTTGTTGTAGTGAGGGGCCCAAAACTGGACACAGTATTCGAGGTGCGGCCTCACCAGCGCTGAGTACAAAGGGATGATCACTTCTCTAGTCCTTCTGGCCACGCTGCTTCTGATACACGCCAGGATGCTGTTGGCCTTCTTGGCTACCTGGGCACACTGCCTTCTTGGCCACCTGAGCACACTGCCGGCTCATGTTCAGCCGGCTGTCGACCAGCACCCCCAGGTCTTTCTCTGCCGGGCAGCTTTCCAGCCACTCATCCCCAAGCCTGTAGCATTGCACAGGGTTGTTGTGACCCAAGTGCAGGACCCAGCACTTAGCTTTGTTGAACCTCGTACAGTTGGCCTCGGCCCATCGATCCAGCCTGTCCAGATCCCTCTGTAGAGCCTTCCTACCCTCCAGCAGATCAACACTCCCACCCAGCTTGGTGTCATCTGCAAACTGACTGAGGGTGCACTCAATCCCCTCGTCCATATCATCAATGTTAAACATATGTTTAACCATATCATCGTGTTAAACAGTACTGACCCCAACACTGAGCCCTGGGGAACATCACTGGTGACTGGCTGCTAACTGGATTTAACTTCATTCACCACCACTCTCTGGGCTCAGCCAGCCAGCCAGCCAGATTTTCACCCAGTGAAGGGTATGCCTGTCCAAGCCATGAGCTGCCATCTTCTCCAGGAGAATGCCGTGGGAGACAGTGTCAAAGGCCTTACTAACGTCCAGTTAGACCGCATCCACAGCCTTTCCCTCATCCACCAGCAGGTCACCTGGTCATAGAAGGAGATCAGGTTGGTCAAGCAGGACTTCCCTTTCATGAATCCATGCTGGCTGGACCTGATCCCCTGATTGTCCTGCAGACATGTTGGATATCCAGAGCCCTTTTCAACAGGTATTAAAAGCTGATCTTGCTAGTGACTTTTTAATTATTTTGGGAAAATGTATTGAATTTTAGCAGGAAAAAAGTGTACTCATGGTGTTTGGGTATTCCACATATGAGCGAATTCAAAATCTTCTTTCAAAGCCTGACAGTCAAAGTAGTAGATTTGCATTTTAAGTCTCGTTAGTGGACTGAAAAGCAAGTAATTTTAAATCCAAATAGTTGCAGAGTGCATTAGTAACAATGCAGTGATTGAGGAGAGGAATCAGCAGTAAATAAGCATGCCAGTTAGAATAGGACTGGACATACCACTCGAAAGTCCAGAAGAGTTTTGAAGAGCAAGACCCCATCTGCCACTGAAACGTGAAGCTGTCTGGTTTGTAGCTCAAGAAGAATGTGCTATATCATTATCAGTGAATTAGTGTTTGCATGATATAAACTGTGCTTGATCACTTTTAGTTTTCTTTATTTGTGAGTGAAAAATCTTTTAAACCATGAGAAGACCTTAATTACCGTAACTAAATATTAGTAGCATAAACCACTTCTTACTTGGGAAAAATATTTCATGTTTGGATCTCTTGAAACGAAAATTCTAATAGGGTTTTCCTGGTTATTGGACATTTTTTAATTTATAAAGAATTACTTAGATTTCATAACCATACAGCTGCTTCCCGTTTTGAATAATCAGACATTTTAAAAAAGAAAAATCTGACCTATTTAATTACATTTTTATATTCTTTATTGTGCACTGTGGTTCTTAGAGACATTCTAAGTGCACTACTGAAAGAAATTTTCAGAAATCCCACATGTATTTCCCAAAGGCCCATTCACTTTATTCCACTGCATTAGGTCATTCGAAAATAAAATATTCTGTCCACAGTATTTACAAATAAGTTATTCAAGATAAACGTACTCAGCTGTGCTGAACTGGATGCAGACAGGCAGAAGCTGATACGGGGAGGAAATAAAGCAGTCTTGCCAGTCGTATTACAAGGTCCATTTTTTGGTTTGTGCAGGTTACAGCTGCACAGCTGAGCCAGGCAACTGACTTTTCTGCCTGTGGAATTGCAGAATATTTAGTTCCTTCCACCTGACTGAAGAATGCTGCATATGTTACCTGAAAGAGCAAATATCTCTTTCACCTGCATGCACTTCTCTAGAGTCAATGAGATTGCCATGAATTTGATTTTTTTAATTTTATGATTCTGTGATTGTTTTATCTTCAAGATAATCCCGCATTTTCTGTATCCCCAGGAAAATACCAGCAGTTATATAGAAAGTTAGGTCCTAATTCCATGCAATCAAAAAGGATCACAAGTGTTTATTGCAGGTAGACCAGTTGCGAACACTGTATCATTAGAAGATTCTAAATTGTTAATGATTTCTCATCTGGAAAAAACCTCCTTTCTTCTCAACTGCCTCCTACCTAAATCCCCATTGCCTGTACTCAGTACATAAATAGGGATTAGTATTTAAATGCAGCGAACACATGTGGGCTCAGATTTTGGACGTTAGCTTGGAGGAGGTGGAACCAGTGTTCCCGTGTGGA